ATCGGGCACCAGCCTCCCGTACCTCCCGTCCCAACACGGCCTTTTCCGTATAACGAGGGAAGGACACGTGTATGTGAGTGGGACGTGCGAGAAGCCGTTGCACAAATCGGCGGACGATACTACTTCCCTCCGGCAAATCGTTGTTCAGGGTTCGTAGAGGCTGGGTTTGTCATTATCGATACGTGCTTCCCACCTTACTCAATATTGTTGCCATTCAACGAGTTGATCGTCATCCCGTGGACGGCAATAGAACCCCACTGGCCGCGCACTCTATGCACCGAATGCCAGCGTTTTGAGCGCTACGAATCAAGGGGTTTCCACTACCGTGTGCGGAGTGAAGACGAGCATAAAGAAAGAGCCACACGGTTGAGACCATCCACGTTGGACTCGGAACTGACCATCGAACGACGACGAGATTTGATACGAAAACGAGACACGCGGAGCGTGCCAAAGCCTTTCCGTTCTAAACGACCGGCTGTAGCCCGGTGGGAAGCCCGACAATACTTTTTGGATTGAATTTGGATTTTTCTCTTTTCGCGCCGTGCCCGCGCGCGCATTTCGCGATGCGCGAAAGCAATCGACTTGCTTCATTGGACCAACACGGGGGATTTTAGTTCCATTTGTGTCCCCACACTCAATTTCCAAAAATCCTTGGCACACCACATCTTGCTGTTTTTCTGGGTCTTTTTCTGCATGCCTAACACTCCGAACGAAAGACAGCACAGGGCGTGAGGTGCGCGTCACACGCATACGCTTTCTCACACCCGCCCCCCCGTAACTGCTTTTCCCTTCCCTTTCTTCGCGCACACCTTTTTTCCTTCCTTCTTCTTGATCATCTGAATCTTGGACCTGTTTCGTGTTATCCTTCACGCTCGTCTTCTTGCCGCTCTAAAAATTCGCGCTCGAAAACCCAGTCGATCCTCCCTCCCCATCTAACCAAGAAGAAGCACCGTGTAAGTTCGTACTGCACGACGACTCTGATTGGCTGAGGTCGAGTTAGGAGGATCAACATGGCTTTCGATGGGCGGCTACTTGCAAACTCTCCTATGCCCTCCTCTGCCTCACCATTCACCCTTCTCCGCATCTATCTCCCTTCTCGCAACTATAAATTCCGCCGGCACCCCCGCAAAGCTCTCTCTCAACTCATTGGCCAACTTCCAGGACGTAGTGGCTAGGTGATGTGTACGGTGCGAGTCGGAAAGTCCTGACGAGTCGACTGTAGGCTGGCTGGCGGTGCGCTAGATCGCCACGACGAACTGTGGGATCCAGGCAAGCCACGTCGAGACTAAGTTGGCTGGGTGACGATCGCAGTGGTGGAGGATGATGCGCGACGGCCGGGATCGTCAGCGTTAGAATGCAAACAGGTAATCTGAGTTGAGTGTATGATTGGCCCGAGGCCGCGTTGGAATTTCATGGCGAGTACGCCCTCTTGGTTGCGACTCTATTCTTTGGTGTGACTTTGCAGCGGTAAAGTCAGACTTTCTTCTAGTCCTCGATCTCTGTGTAATTCCTCTTACGATCTTTATTCCTCCTCTCTCTCTCTCTCTCTCTCTTTCTCTTCCTTCGATTGTGAATGGTTCTATGAATAAGCCAAAGATTGACAAAGTGATGAAATGAGTGTGATGACTATATTCAAATGGTTTCTTCCGGAACTCTTCCATTAGTTTCCTGGGTAGTCCCTCGAGCTATTGGATTTTGTTTTGTGAACGGTGGATGTGCGTGTATCGATCACCAAGGATTCTTCCTTCGACGTCAACCTTATCGGAAAAATTGCATGATTGTCGTTTTTCGCACCTTCCACAGTGAATGCATGCGCGACAGATGAGAGCGAACGGGTACAAAACCCATCTTGATTAGGGCGAGTCGATAACAGGGGCAATGTTGTTGGGATTTGGAAATGCAGAAATGCTCTGAGTTGTGATTGACGAAGGAATATTGCGAGTTTGTATACAACGCACAATTTAATCACAAAATAGCGACCACGTCTCGCCGCGCACAAGTTTTTTTTTTTTCTTTCTCCGCACTCTCTATTTTTTTTGTCTGGCCTTTCCGATTGGATTGCTAGGATTGCATGCA